TGGTATTTTTATACTAGTTTGTCCTTATGAACAAAATATTTTAGGGTTCGTTTGGGATGTAGGTTGACTTTTTAAATTTTTAATTATTTTAATTTGAGGTTAAAAAGTCTCGTTTATGATATACTTTTGACTTTTTTGATAGAAAAAATTAAATAATTATGATTTGAACGTGATATTTTGTCTTATTAACTTTTTAATTTATTTTGTCTTTTTTGTGACTAAAATAGTCAAAAAATTATTTTGACATACCAAATGGAAGCTTAGTGCTTGAACTTGTGGACAACAAATTTTTTTTTTGGCATGAGCGTCCTTATATATTATTAATATTTATAAAATTTATTATTTATTTGTAATCATCTTTTACAAAATCTATTGATTTGATATTTCCCAATCATAAAAAGCGAGGGTAAAAAGGGAGGAATGAAGTTATTGACTAGTGTGACCCGGCTCATGGAGATCCGACCCTTTTCGCACATCTCAATCCCTCTATCTCTCGCGCTAAAATATCAGTTAAACCCTAAACCCTCTCTCTCTCTCCTCACCATGGCATCTATGGCGAGCAGGAGGAACCCAGTCCTCACATCCTTACCTTTCATCTTCACATGGAGAAGATTCATTTTCATTAATTTTACTCTCAATTTATGTATAAAAAAAATAATCTGATTTCGTTGTTTTTATCGAATAAATTCCAGTCATCAAACTAAGATTTTCGACTCTAAAGCAAAGATGGAGCTTCTTGACATCATTCTAACGAAGGTATACACTCCTCCATGTGTATTTTCGACTCTAAAGCAAATATAATTTCTGTAGTTTGCTTCTTAAATTTAATGTGATTTTCTATTGCTTCAAATTTGCAACTATTCATGATTTCATTAATTTATACATCGCATCAATGCCTTGTGGCTAAACTATTACGTGCAACTTTGCAGCTAGAGACTCATGGCGAACTTTTTGACAAAATTGTAAGGCTTTGATTGCTTCTGATTTAATGCATTGATTCTCATGAAAATCTTGTTCCATACAATTGGTGACCATGTTGGATTTTGTACGGTTTTTTTGAGGCAGTCTAGTAAAGGGAGGTTGAAACAAGATGAAGCAAGGAAGTATTTTCAGCAGCTCATAAATGTGGTGGATTACTGCCACAGCAGATGTGTCTTTCATAGGGATCTGAAGGTGAGAAAATCACTGACTTTTGGTTTTAATTTCTGCAAATGGAGTCCTCAAAGTTTCAGATTTTGGATTAAGCGCTCTACCTCAACAAGTTCGAGTATGTGACAGCTTCCTGTCTAGTACTTCTCATCTGCATCCTACTAGTCGCCCGGGGGGGGGCTAGTAGTAAAAATTGTGTCAAAGTTTCAGGGGCAACGCTTCATTTATTTTATCTATACGTACAGTATTGCATTGTTTAAACTCTTGATGATAGTGTGGCGACCATTACACATGTTTAAAACTGAGTTTCTGAACTCTTCATTCAGGGAGATGGGTTACTGCACACAACCTGTGGAAAACCAAATTATGTTGCTCCTGAAGTATGGTATAGTGTTTAATGCAATTTAACATATCTATCTCTTCCTAACCACACTTATTATCCTCATCACTTTGGTTGTTTACTTGTCTAGGTGATTAAGAATAAAGGCTGCGATGGAGCTAAAGCAGATCTATGGTCGTGCGGTGTAATACTTTTTGTACTATTGGCTGGTTTTCTGCCATTTGAAGAGTCCAACCTCATGGAATTATACAAAAAGGTTTTTTTCTTTTTCTTCCAAATACCCTATGCCTTTGGGTTGTTTTGTTGTAATTTGTTATCCTGTCAATGGTTTTTCTTTTATTTTTGCTAAATTCGTGAAGTATTTAGCAAATCTTATTGCATTCTTTTCATGATATCCTCTAAGGAAATTTTAGTTTAGAGTGGAGAAGATAATGAAGAAATTTGTTGGTTTAGGATGAAGTGGACATTCTCTTGTGGAGGTGACCAGAGCTGGCATGAGGTTAGCGCGGAGAAGAGAATGACAAAATTTGTCTTATGCATGTTATTTGGGTGAGTGGAATCGTAGGTCTTTTGCTCACCCCAAACAGCATGCATAAGAGATCTGTCTTATGCATGTTAATTAGAAGTTTGAGTTACATATGGTGTAGAAATAAGCATGTAAACCTCAAGGGTTTGGCCTAGTGGGTATAACTTGAGGTCTGGGAGTGTGCCCCCTCCAAGTCTCAGATTCAATATCCACTAATAGCAATAAGCTCCATGGGGCCATGTCCATATAGGGCATTGCCTTGGCTTTAAATGGGGCCCTCGCAAGTAGGTGGTGGGATTGGTCTTCTGGAATCATTCGAGGTGCACGTAATTTGACTTATTTGTGCTGTTGCCTCTATTTTTAGAATTTTAAATAAAAGATTTTATAGAAGTATCCTGAACTTGTCCATAAGGTATCTGGCTGTATCCTAGCTGTATCTTTTTTCCTGTTCAGTATATGAAAAACTAATTGGTTGATAGAACCCAAGATGACAATTACTATGCTTTTCTCAATTTGTAAAACATGCATATTATGTTATTTCATGTTTTTGTTTTAAGCCTTGCGAGCTGTAGTTTAGGAGCTGTGCATTATTGTATTTGCATGATGAAATCGAACTTTTTGGACCAAAGAGATGTGCTTCTTGATAACCATTACAGATGTTTTAGGAAATCGTGTGATTTAATGTGTGCATTTTGTGGCTGTTAGAAGTTATAAATTGTTGGGCTATGGACTTCAAGAAGCAAACAACTTAATGACAAAGGAAGCTTCTGAAAAAAATGAAGACCGTCTTCTCAGTGTTACTATATTGTTTTTGTAAATCTTATTTTATTTGTATTAATATTTTCCGGTGAACAAGGGTCATAATTATTGTCTTTCCTCATGTAACCAGGTTCTATGCTGCAGAAGTTCTTTTGGCACTCGAGTATCTGCACATGTTGGGAGTTGTGTACTGCGACCTTAAACCAGAAAATGTTCTTGTACGTGACGACGGCCACATATTCTTCAATTAATTTTTTTCCCCTTCAATGTGTTTCTGTGAGATGTCATTAACCTTCATCTTTGTTATATTGTTTTTGCTGACCACAGGGTTGTAGTCTGCAAACACTGAATGATATTTTCTAAGTGGTTTGTATTAGATAAGCCCGTTGCACTGAATCCGTGCAGAGTATTGTAGTTCTTATCTAGTTCTTATCGATATTGTTTTCTTCTCTCCTGATGACTGCTGGTTAGAGTGCCAACATAAACAGTAACCGAAGATTCTGAAAGAGATTTTACATACTATAATTGAGGTAGCTGTCATCTTGTTTAGTAATATTTCAGTAATTTTGTTCGTTTATGTAATCTTGTTTAGTAATATTTCAGTAATTTTGTTCGTTTAAATTTTTGTAAAATTTTACTTTTTATGTACTCATTGTAGTTTGGGAATAGAATGCTTTGATGTGTGAATGTCAATTTTTTTTTCTTTTTATTTTTATAATTTTATGGTTGGATGATAAATTTAATTTTTGTGAATTTTTGGCTATCAAATTAAATGGTTATAAAATGTTTTTAAACTGACTTTTAGTGACGAAAATACATGCTAGAGAGTCATTTATCCTTTAGCAACCAAAAATAATTGTTGTTAAAAATGTCACTATTTTGTATTTTGTGACCAAAGAGGGACATTTTGTGACGAAGTATTAGCGACGAAGTGTTTTAGTTTTGCAAAATTAAACATTTTGTGGCAGTGTAAAATCGGTCGCCAATTGTCTTGTTTAGCGACGTTTTTGAAAATCAGTCGCTAATAACTTTCCTGGACGCACTTTGATTGACGTTTTTGGTGACGAATATAATTTTGTCACAAAAAGTATTTAGAGACTAAAGTAATGGTTTTAGGGACAAAAACAATTGGTCGCTAAAAGTCTTATATGTTGTAGTGATACCTGTTGCCTTTTTAAGGCGATGAGATGTAAGGAAGACCCGTAATCTCATATAGTGAAACCTGAACAAGAATTGATACTAATCCATTATTATTATTTTTTTTTCCTTTTCTTCCTTTTATTTTTATTTTTTTACTGAGGGCCAGTCACTTCATAATAAAAACATAAATAAATAAAAGCCCTATAGATGTATTTTTCTCTTATTAAAACAGTAAAATGAAGTAAATTTTCTGTTTAATTATTTTTATTTGTCTTCGTCTGCACCATTTAATTTGCTACAAATAAATTAGTAAATTGCGATTCCAGCCCTAAGCCCTGGGGTTGGGTCGTGACAGAGAGAGAGAGAATATAGAGAGGGGCTGAAAAATATGTCGTATTAACAATGGGTAATTTGGTATTTTTATACTAGTTTGTCCTTATGAACAAAATATTTTAGGATTCGTTTGGGATATAGGTTGACTTTTTAAATTTTTAGTTATTTTAATTTGAGGTTAAAAAGTCTCGTTTATGATAGACTTTTGACTTTTTTGATAGAAAAAATTAAATGATTATCATTTGAACGTGATATTTTGTCTTATTAACTTTTTAATTTATTTTGTTTTTTTTAACTAAAATAGTCAAAAAATTATTTTGACATGCCAAATGGAAGCTTAGGCCTCGTTTGGCAAGAGGCTATTTTAGCCAATTAGCCAAAAAGTTACTAAATTAGCCAAAAAGCCAACAACCCATACCAAAAAGTCAAAGATTCTCTTTTCTCTCTACTTTTTGCACATCTTTTCGTAATTAGCCAAAAAGTCATCCCAAACATATAAGTTTTTTTTACCTACTTTTTTAGCCAACTAGCCAAAAAATTACTAAATTAGCCTGTTCCCAAACGAGGCCTTAGTGCTTGAACTTGTGGACAACAAATATTTTTTTGGCATCAGCGTCCTTATAAATTATTAATATTTATAAAATTTATTATTTATTTGTAATTATCTTTTACAAAATCTATTGATTTGATATTTCCCAATCATAAAAAGCGAGGATAAAAAGGGAGGAATGAAGTTATTGACTAGTGTGACCCGGCTCATGGAGATCCGACCCTTTTCGCACATCTCAATCCCTCTAGCTCTCGCGCTAAAATATCAGTTAAACCCTAAACCCTCTCTCTCTCTCTCTCTCTCCTCACCATGGCATCTATGGCGAGCAGGAGGAACCCAGTCCTCACATCCTTACCTTTCATCTTCACATGGAGAAGATTCGGCTTCCGCACCATTCACAGCGGTCATATTGGCTTCGCTCCGTCCGATTACGAGACCTCTGTCGCCGGAACTAAGGTTCTCGAAAAATTCACAGAAGAATTCGAAATCGGATCGAGGAAAATTACATTGGAGACAGGAAAGATAGCTCGATTTGCCAACGGAGCAGTTGTTTTAGCCATGGAAGATACCAAAGTTCTCTCCACCGTTTCTTCAGCTAAAGGCGACTCTGTTCGCGACTTCTTGCCCCTCACTGTATGTTCGACATGTTCATATGTTGCACTTATTATCCTGTTATGAGCCCACATTGTAGGGGATAGGGACATAGGCAGTGCCGGAGAAAGGAAATTAATAAGCAACAACAATAAGATAATAATAATTTTTTTGAGCTTATATTGATTAAAAACTTAAATATTGACAAATCAAAATTGTAACTCGGTGTGATAGTGATGTAAATTTGTAATTTTAGCAAATCATAACCCATTATTTATAGCACAAATGACCATAAATCAATGTCCCTAATTTTTATTTGAGAGAGAAAGCTTAGAGAGATGTTGTTGCTTGAAAACAGTGTGTTGTAAACAATGCAAAAAATCACTAGCCAAAGAGAATACTGAAATAAGGCACTGGGTACATTCTGCATAAGTAATTATATATAAAAAAAGAATTCCAAAGCGAGGGTTGTTCCTCATTACCCTCCAATGTTGATGAGAGAATATTTTATTAGAGTGAGCGAAAGTTCGAGGACTGGGAGAGGATGTCATGCCACAGTGGCTGATGTTTTCAAGATGAAAGAATAAAACAAAAGCATAAAATGAAAATGTGAATGAGGTAAAAATGACAAAATGATAATAAGTTAATGACAAACTTAAGGTGGGATATAGACTCAAGTGAAAAACTTAGCATCTAATCATGTCTTTGGCAGTGATGCCCCTCTGTATCTAATGACACATGATCCAGGAGAAAGACCAGCCAAACGTTTGGTTAGTCAAATATTTGATAAATTTTCCATATTTATAAGTTCCTTTCTCCTCACAAAAAAAGATGTCATTATGGTCAGCTCGTGATGGAGTTAGTGTTATTTTCTCTTGGGTGCTATTTGATTACAAATTTATTCTCTTTTATGATTCCTTGCCTTCTATGAAGATTTTAATGCCTCTTTATTCTTGTAAGGTTGATTACCAAGAGAAACAATTCGCACAAGGTGTGATTCCCAACACATTCATGCGAAGGGAGGGTGCTCCAAAAGAACGTGAACTTTTATGTGGTCGTATCATTGATAGACCCATACGACCACTTTTTCCTGCTGGATTCTACCATGAGGTCCAGGTATGGTATTGCTGTTTTGGTTTGTGACATATTCTGCTGACTTTCTTTCTCACTCACTGCTCTTACTCTCTTGATCATTGTGGACTGTTTCATAGGTAATGGCAAGTGTTCTTTCTTCTGATGGGAGGCAAGATCCAGATGTAATGGCAGCTAATGCAACATCTGCTGCTCTTATGTTATCAGATATTCCTTGGGGTGGTCCCATTGGAATGATACGTATGGGAAGGATTTCTGGGAAATTTATTGTTAATCCAAGCATGGATGAGGTAATACTCGGTTAATAATTTTTTGGTAGTGGTGCATATATGTCCTCTTGTTGCACGCATTGCTTGCCACACTCGTAGGATGGTTTTAGCATGCTAGATATGCCTATATTCAATGATATTTGAAATTGTGGGGTTTTTCTTTTCTATAATGGTGGTTCTTCAGCTGATCTTGAAGGTAGTCGTCACAGAAGTTTTGCTTCTTGGTTCCTCATTTTTCTTTGCCTTATCATGCTATTTTTATGTTCAAATTTTACCAGCATTTGATTTGCATGTTGATATGTGGAAACAAATAGAGCAGAAACCTTTTCTTGGCCTGTTGTTGACAAAAATATTTAGTTCATGGCATAGCTATAATATATGTTTGCATTGCTTCATTGGTTCTGTTCCTGCAATGACTGTCAATGTAGTATCAATTGTAAAATGGTAATTTTTTGATTTGTTGCGAGTATCACATTCACTTGAGTTTTTTACATATTGAATTTGATGCTGTATCGGCTTGAATTAGTATAAATTAGCTTCAAATTTCTCAAATCTCTCCATATGCTTGAAACGTTGCACATATGCTTTTACGATGCGCTACATATTTTGTTATATAGATGGCTAATTCTCTTTGGATTATGATTAGCATTTGCAACATAATGAATGTCATGCAGCTTAATTTAAGCGATCTCAACTTGGTATATGCCTGCACAAAGGACAAAACTTTGATGGTAGATGTGCAAGCTCGTGAGATTTCAGAAAGAGATCTGGAAGCTGCCTTAAGGCTGGCTCATCCTGAGGTAAGTCATTAGCCTCACAACAACTTTCAGCAGTGTAGTAATTGAATTATATTAAGGTGTCTGACTCCAAATAATTAGGCAGTTAAATATCTTGAGCCTCAAATCAGACTAGCAGCCAAAGCTGGTAAGCGGAAGAAGGAATATAAATTGTCTGTGGTGTCAGAGGGCACATTGGAAAAAATCAGGAACTTGACCGAAGCACCTATTGAAGCTGTCTTTACAGATCCTACCTATGGCAAGGTGTGAATCATTCTTCTAGTAACATTTTACTTTGCCATGTGGTTATGTGTATATAATACCTGTGGATATTGTTGTTTGGTTGGTTATCTTGTCTTGTTTGCGTCAAAGCAAGAAAGATTTGTGATATTCTCTCTCTGCCCGATGTATTTTTTTAATTATTGTCCTACTATTTACATTCAGTTTGAACGTGGAGAGGCCTTAGATAAGATTACACAAGATGTAAAAAAGGTACTGGTTGAAGAGTGTGATGAAGAAAGCTTAAAGGTTCTATCAAAGACGGTTGACACTGTAAGGAAACAGGTATGCATAGAAATTTGTGAGTTAATTCTTTGAGTAAGCTATATTTTGTGAAGTTCTTCAGTTATGTTCATGTCTGCAGAATGGATTCTGTAATTTTAACTTATTTCTCAAAATTTTAATGCATAAACACCTATTGTCTACGATTTGTTATCGTGCTATGTAATTGTTTATGTTCCTATTATTTAAGTTGGTATTGGTAATGCAACATAGCATTTCCTCTTGGGGGAAAGATACCACTTGCTATTTCTGTGTTCTTGCAGCTGGGGGATATATATATATATATATGTACATAATTCATTTTCTCTAACAAAACCAAGATGTGTAATGTGACATATTATTGGACCATAAAACTTTGGATTTGGCGGTAAATTGTTTATGAAGGAAATTGATGTTCTTTTATGAACTATCCATTTAAGCTTTTAGATATATTATTTTTCTTACTAAATTCATATTTATTTATATTAGTTTTTACATCTCTCAATGATGGTGAGTTTGTCAAGTTTTATGAAAATACCAGATTGTTCGAAGAAGAATTATTGCTGAAGGACTTAGAGTTGATGGAAGGCGTCTTGATGAAGTTAGGCCTTTGTTTTGTGAAGCTGGTTATCTACCTCAATTGCACGGATCATCACTTTTTTCACGTGGAGATACCCAGGCCAGTACTTATTTACTTAGATTACTTTGTTGTAGTGACATAATCTGCCTTATCTCTGCATGTTTGAGATCCAACTTTATAGACATATTTGATGTTATCTACAGGTTCTTTGTACTGTGACCCTTGGAGCACCTGGAGACGCTCAACGTTTGGAGTCCCTGGTCGGTCCCTCAACCAAGCGTTTCATGCTTCACTATAGTTTTCCACCATTCAGTATTAATGAAGTGGGTAAAAGAGCTGGCCTGAATAGGCGGGAAGTTGGGCATGGTAAAGCAATTGATTTTTCTTCATGCCATGATGTCATGTCAGCAATGAATTAAGATTGGTCTGTTTATTTTGACCAATTGAATCAAGCTTCTTACACTGCTCCAGTAATTCTGTTGCTCAATTTTAACTCTTTCCATATCTGTTTTCTTAAAATATTTGCCATATGTCTGTATATGAATTTATGTGGATGGTGTTCAAATCTGAGGTGATTTGTGTAGCAAACTTGCTGTTAAGCAGGGAGATTATGTATAACAACTCCCTGGGGGTGTTAGGGTTTCTCTATATACAATACGTTGCACTCTCATACAATATATGTAAACAATTAAGAGCTAAAAGTTATTGGCGGTAAGGCAACCTTACTTTTCATATTGTTGTCCTCTGAAACCGCTTTGGCTGTTAGTGAATGGAAAGGCACCATATTTCAAGAAGTGAAGTTATATGAAAGCAAACGGACTGAATATTCTATGGTGGAACAGACCGTATGATGCATGTTTCTATATGATTGCATAATGGCATGATTCAATGCTCCTCTGCACTATCAATTATCAAGTTGCCATAGTTTTATGTGAGAAGTGATATGTTCACTGATAGTCTGCTAATGCTTTATTATTATGTTTCTCAAGAGATGATGATTTTTCTGTACAAGTATCTGTACTGTTTAATCTAAATAGCTACATAATTTATTCAATGAGCTAAGAATATCTAAAATTGTTGCCTTTGCTTGGGTTAAAAAAAAATGTAGGCACTCTTGCTGAGAAAGCTCTGCTTGCTGTGTTACCTCCTGAAAATGATTTAAGATATACAATCCGTGTTAATTCAGAAGTCATGGCCTCTGATGGTTCAACATCAATGGCAACTGTCTGCGGAGGTATACCCTTCTATCCTACTGCAATTGTTTCAGTCAGGCATTTCCCTGTCTCCTTTCTGTGCTATGGATCCCTCATCCTGCTTGAACTTTTGTCATCCTTTTCACTTTATTCTCGTTTTATATTTGATTGTCTGTCACCTCTCTTTTACAGTTGTGGTTGAGTCATATTTATTGAGTGATAAAGTGATTGTGAAACTTTCCAGTATTCACTACTAAATGTTTGGGGCACTTGCAAATCATGAACAAAAATTTTGTTTTAAATGGATGGCCACACCTTCCTTTTCACAAAAGCTTTGATAATGATGCAAAAAAGCTGCTGTGTGATTTGAAAGTCAGTTATGTGATAGACTAATGGGTATATTTCATTCATCAAGTTGTTTTATGCTTTTCTATTTCTATTTACTGTAGGCAGCATGGCTTTGATGGATGCGGGAATTCCATTAAGTGAACATGTAGCAGGTGTGTCCGTAGGCCTTGTGAGTGATGTTGATCCATCAACTGGCATAATCAAGGATTACCGCATACTGACTGATATTTTGGTAAGGATTTTTATTGTTATTGTCATAGGCTGAATGCTGAAAAGTTTTTGGAATTTAGCAAAAGAACAAAAAAAGAACATTGGAAAGTCCATGGAAGTCTGCTGAAGCAGTTATTGCTCACTTCAGTCATCTTTTTGCTTATTAATTTAATATATACTTTGGGAAATGTCTTGCTGTCTTTTGCAGAATTATTCTGGTACTAAGTTCTTTTAATCTTTTGGTTGGAGCACCTAAAATTTTTACTAGTTATATTCCTCTTTATCTCTTTGTCCGTCTCTCCCACTCTATAGGGCCTGGAAGATCATCTGGGGGACATGGACTTCAAAATTGCAGGCACACGGAATGGAATAACAGCAATTCAATTGGATATAAAGCCTGCTGGAATTCCTCTAAATATTATTTGTGAGAGTTTGGAACCTGCATTTAAAGCTCGGCTTCAAATCCTTGACCACATGGAACAAGAAATAAACGCGCCGCGTACTCAGGATGAAAGGAATTCTCCACGAATAGGTAAGATTTTGCACTCCTATTGCACTTTGTTCTGTAGATTTCTTTTTGTTGGGAAACTTTTGACCGTGAGCTGTATTTTGTGCTTTTGGGTAAAATTTATGATCCATGATGCAGTTACCTTGAAGTACAGCAATGAAGCTCTTCGCCGCATGATTGGGCCTCTTGGTGCCTTAAAGAGAAAAATTGAAGAAGAAACAGGTCTGGCTTAAGCTTGAGAGTTCTTCATATCTTTTAATTCAATCTTTGAAGTCCCTCTCATGAATGACTAAAATTTTTGGTTTATATATTACAGTTTTCCTATTACCTTTTGTGTCTTATTCTGATTGTCGGGTAAAATTTTATGGCCTTTTGCCCATCTTGATGTCTTTGTGTTCTTGCAATGAATTTCTTTTCCTCTTTCTGTAATAATGCCACATTAGATTTGAAAGGACAATGTGTGCGGATATTTTGACTTAGATGTGGTACATGAGATTCTTTGAAGCCATCCCCTTGAGTGTTCACATTTAAACTTGCCACCGTATCTTCCCCATCAAATTATATTTGCATATTGTTTAAAAATTGTTTAGTTGATGTGTAAAATACTGGTTGGGCATTATTTAGTTGATACGTAAAATGCTAAAAGAACTGTTCAATGCCAAACTTTGTATTTTTTTTTAGGGTGAATTACACTAATGGTCCCTATAGTTTGGGACTTGTGTTATTTTGGTCCCTAACTTTTCAATTGTGACACATTTGACCCTGAATTTTGAATCTTATTCTAAATGAGGACAATTGAAGATACTATTGGATTTTTCAAGGGCAAAATTGTCAATTTGATAAAATATAAACTAATTTGACAAAAATAAATGTCAAAAAAATATTTTTGAATTTTTAAAAATTATTTTTACCCATTAAAGATAAAATTATGTAAAATTGATATATCTTTTAGACATTTATTTATTTATTTATTTTACTAAATTAATTTTTATTATGTGTTTGGATGATAATCATGTAAAATTTATTTTTAAACATTAATCATGTAATTTTTATCAATTTTACATAATTTTATCTTTAGTGGGTAGAAATAATTTTTAAAAATTTTAAAATATTTTTTTGACATTTATTTTTGTCAAATTAATTTATATTTGATCAAATTGATGATTTTGCCATTGAAATTAAGTAATGATATTTTCAATTGTCTTTATTTGAAAAAATATTTAAAATTCAAGGTCAAATGTGTCACAATTAAAAAGTCAGGGACCAAAGTGACACGAACCCTAAACTATAGGGACTGTTGGTGTAATTTGTCCCTTTTTTTTTTATCACTCTGAAACTTTGTATTTAGTTTACATCACCTCTCTAGCACATTGCACATCTTTTCGTAAAAAGCAAAAAGTTACTAAAATAACATATTCCCAAACAACCCCTTAAACTTGTAAGATTGATGGACACTTGTAAGGCTCACTTGGGTGTAGATCACTTAGCAGTTAGATTAAGACTGTTGTTTTATATGCATCTAATAATTTTCCATAATGATCTATATTAATGTCTATAATCCAGGTGCACGGATCTCTGTGAGTGATGGAACACTTACAATAGTCGCTAAGAACCACTCTGTACTGGAAAAAGTATTAGAAAAGGTACTTCCTGCATTAGGATGTAATAATTTATTATGTGTTCTTTAACTTGTATCACTTGATATCTGGCCTGATCTCTAGAAGCTAGGCTAAATATTTACATTTCATCGATTGTTTAGCATTCTTAATAATAATAAGGTTAGTTCTATCAGAATCCTCCAATTAAAGTGCGCCTTAACTTTAACATGGTCTTCAGGTTGATTTTATAATTGGTCGTGAGATTGAAGTTGGAGGGATTTACAAAGGCATTGTAACATCGATCAAAGAATATGGTGCTTTTGTGGAGTTTAATGGAGGCCAACAAGGTCTCCTACACATTTCTGAATTGTCACATGAACTGGTATGTAAATAATTGTGTTAGAACAACCTTTCCCTTTCCCCCCTCTTCATTGAACAACGTCTCTGTTGTTTATCTAATTCTTTGAACATTTGCATGTAGTTTTTCAAGTATACTTTATTTTTGGTGATTTTCACAATCTCACTTCTCATGTGACTTTTGCGGATCAGCTTATTGAAGAATTTGCATCTAGTAGCGTTTGGGTTGATTTTTCACCTCTCTTCATGAAACTCATTGCCTATTTCTCATCAGGTGTCCCGAGTTTCAGATGTGGTATCTATTGGCCAGCAACTTTCATTAAAGTGCATAGGGCAGGATGTTCGTGGTAACATCAAATTATCTCTTAAAGAAACTTTACCCCAACCAGGATCCGGAACAAATAATGTGGTTGAACAATCTTTTGCCTTTATAAAACAAGCACATAATGATTGGACATCAGTTGGCGATGTGCCTACTGAGCAAGGAAATCAGCACTCCGCCATGGGGGATGTGCTAGCGAGTAAACATGAAATTAGTGTGGAAAACTCCTCTTCTTTCTCATCATCATCTATTCTAATTCGAAGTGCTGCAGAGTGTGACGAGGCGGAAAAATCTGCCGGCTTAAATCAGAATTCTAAAAGTGGCCCTCGGGATGATCTAAATGATAAGGAAGCTGTGGTCAAGGCTCCAATAAATGCGAGAAATCTGAAGCTTGGGATGAAGGTAACAGCTAAGGTTCACCAAATTCGTGCACGGGGATTAGTCCTTGACTTGGGTGGTGGAATTCATGCTATGTATCGGTTTGAGGTACATATTAGCCTCTTGCTTTTGTTTTGTTAGCAGTCTTTTTAGTTTTTATCTTTGTCTTTGTGTTTGGCTGAGTTTTTAAAATATGTTTTCCGAAAAAATCTCAAAAACTAGTTTGATGAAAAATGGAAAATACTCATTATTTTCATATGATTCTCTCTTTTTTGGGGCATAATGATTTTTAATTAGTTCAGAATCTTCTTCTTGGTATTTATTTTTATCAAACTAGTTTCTAATTTTTGAAGGAAAAAAAAAATCAGAAAATGAGTTTAGGAAACTCAGCCAACATTTGTCTATCATGGAGTAACATTTACTGATTTTTAAGAATCTGAAAAGAAGCATGATTTCTTGACCATAAAAGAAACATGACTTTGATTTTAACCTGATCGCAGACATGCTTTTCAGGAATTGACCTTTAAACATTAAAACACGTTCAAAGCTTATTTAAACGTGAAAATATTGATTTTTTTTTTTTTTTAAATGGCTCGTTCTTCCTTGCAGAGTAGCGGCAGGAGAGACTTTGAGATCGGCGATGAGTTGAGAGTCACGTGTTCAAGTTTTTCTAGCAAGGGAATTCCTGTAATGTCTATGGTAGAAGATGAATAGTCTTGTATCGGCTTATATCCTTCCTGAGAATAAAATTGCATACTTGTCATGCCCATCAATGAGCAAGAACATTGGTGTGAAAAAATATCGTGTACCATAAGCGCAGAGATGTTGAAAATGCTGGGAAAATATTGGGGTGTGCATGGATCAAGGCGTGTGATGTTCATATGACCTGGTGGGCGATGCAGCCTTGGCTGGAGCAAAGCTTTTGCGACCTAGGGCTTGTCCACGTAACAATTAGAATGGCTCTCGGTTCTCATTTGAAGGTTCGTTTTTCCAAAGCTAGTGAACTTCATCGATCTGAACTGTCATGATTATGATGCACAACACGGATTTCAAAATTTTGATTATATAGATGGCCTGTGCTGTGTGATTTTGTTGTAAATTTATTTATTTATTGATTTTGTTATTAATATCTATTCGAGTTTTGTTTAAGGAAAAATGAGAATCATTGAGAGAGCATATGGCAGTTGAATAGGCCCTGTTTGGTATTGTTTTTTTTAAAAAATTGTATTCATTTTTGTTCAGTTTTCATATTTTTGAAAACAAAAATAATAAAAAGGTAAGAAAAAAATCCCCATTATTTTTCGTCTTATATGTTGGATTATCTACAATGTACAGAATATGTAGTAGAACCAAATAATTCTCTTAGTAAGTTAGTTAGGTAACAGAAATTTAACCTGGATCTATTTGTGGGTTCAGTTCTGACCTCAAGAGTCAAAGAATCGACCCAGATGGACGGTCAGGATTATGTAGGTGTGTGATCTTTGACTTTGGGCTAGTGTCATTTACTAATTATACTTTTTGAAGAATCTATTATACACCTCATATATTATATGCACTCTTAATTATGTCATTTTCTTAAGATATTTAGTTATGATTTTTTTTATTTTTAATTATAATTTTTTTTTAAATTATGATTCAAGAAGCATAAAATTATATCATTTTTTTATTTATTTATAGTTATAATGTGCATATTATTATTATTTTTTTAAACTGACTTATAATGTACATATGATATAGTCTTTTCCCTACCTTTTTACATATTTCATTTAGACCGGTATGGTTACACAGGTCATGTCCTGAAAGAATTAAACAAATATATTTTTTTTATTTATAAAGTAAATAAGTTTATTTAAAATTAAAATTTCCATCAAAAAATTAAAATTTTAACATAAATTTGTGAAAAGTCGTTTTACGCAATACTTTTAAAAATTCTATAATGTCCCCAATATGATAATTTTTTTTAACAAAAAGTAAATTTAAAATGACTCAAAAGTTAATTTTTGTAATAATTGTTAAAAATATCAGTTTAATGAATTTAAAAAATAAAAAATTATTAAAAATACATTTATCAAATCCCGTCTCAATCTCGCAGGAACCAGCAAATTAATGAAAAATTATAGAATGCTTTCCGAATATTATATGTGCCTGTATTTTCTAAGCAATTATTATTTATCATATATTTTTTATATTTTTCAATTACCCAATACAATACGGATTTGGGGTGCTTGCTACGCAGCCCTATGGGCTTATTTTGCGATCCGTGTTGATAATCTGAATCGTTTACGTTTTAGAGTACATCGAGTAAAATATACTTGTAAAACATTAAGTTAATAAGATATCGTTAACCCGTTCATCTACTCACATTTGTATTCATTTTAATACTTTAAATTATAATGTTATTTATTTTTGAAGATACAAATGTGAATAGATGAAAAAGTTAACGATATCTAATTAACTTAATTTTTTACAGGTATATTCTATTTAATGTACTCTAAAACGTAAACGGTTCAGATTATCAAAACGAATTCCGAAATAAGTCCATAAAGTCGCATAGTAGTGCCTGCTGTGCTAGGTGGGCAACAGGCACCCGAACTCCATACAATACCTCACTAACTTATTTTCTTCACCAACCACAATATCATATAGTACCACGTATTCATATTCCGAGATTGGTTTAAAATGTTGAAATGGGATTTCTAATTATAGAATAATATTATCAACCCCGGTTGGTAGCTCGAAATTCGTGGGTCGAATTTGGCTCGACACCAAAACGACATCGTTTTGGTGTCTTTTTTTTTTTTAATCTTTTTTCCCTTCTCTCTGGTCTGAAACTGAGACGAAGAAGAAGACGAAAGAAGAGGAGGGGAGGGGAGGGGGGAGAGAGAGAGAGATCAACCCAAATCAAAAACAGTTTTTTCTTCATCAAACCCGAGTTCATCTTCATATCCAAACCCAAGTAAAAAAAATATATGTTTGTTTATATGGCAGATTCAGATCAGAATATGGCAGATTCAGATCAGATCCAAGTAAAAAAAAATATGGCAAAAAAAATATGAGTACATCTTCATATCCAAACCCAATTAAAAAAAAAATATGTTTGTTTATAAGGCAGATTCAGATCAGATCCAAGTAAAAAAAAATATGGCAAAAAAAATATGAGTACATCTTCATATCCAAACCCAATTAAAAAAAAAATATGTTTGTTTATAAGGCAGATTCAGATCAGATCCAAGTAAAAAAAAAAATATGGCAAAAAAAATATGGCAGATTCAGATCAGATCCAAGTAAAAAATAAATAAATATACAAAAAACATCATCTTCTTCAGATCAGATTTTTGGTAATAGGAATGTTTGGATCATCTTCTTGAAATTCTTTAGAAGATGATCCCGTTAAAAATTGTAGTCTACACTAAAACCAATCTGAACTAATCAATGGATTTTTCGTAATTCATTATTATGTATTTATATTAAAATATTTTTAATATTTAGCGGTTATATCTTTCAAAACTTAGAATAAATGGTAAAAATTTAACACCATAAAATAACCAACTAAATCTAAATATAACCATTTTTTTTTTTTTTTCAAACCAAGAAAAGAAAAATCAAAACCCATTTCTCTCTCCCCTGTACTGTATCCAAAGAGAGAAAATCTCTGTGTAACCGTCCTCTGTCTCTTTCTCTCTTATGGCCTTTGTTCTTCTGTCGTCCATCATCATCATCATCATGTTCGTCCTCAAAGCTTCATTGTTCCCTCCAACAATGGCGGCTCCTCGAACAGACCTCCTCGCAAAAATATGCGGAGATGTGCGCGCACAAGACGAAACCAAATACATGAGAAGCTACGCTAAGATTTTGCTAACAATGCAGAGAGAAACGCTCGTAAACAAGTTCGCGACAGGTGAAGACGGTGAAACACCAAATAGGATTTTCGTGTTAGGGCAGTGTATGGATGATCTCTCTCTCGACGATTGCGATAAATGTTTCTCGAAGATCAGTTCTCGATTGATCGGTTGCTTCCCTTTCACCGCCGGTCGTGTTTTTCTCGATGGTTGCTTCATGAGGTTCGACAATTATAGCTTCTATGAAGAAATCGCTTCAGAAATCTATGATGTGCAGGTAAATTCATTCTACATTTCTCCAAATTTATTTATTTTTGGTTGTTAATTTTGCATGTAAATAATTTGTGAGCGAAATGGAAAATAATAAGAATTTCTATTAATTTTTTGATTGTTGATTCTACTTTTGATTTTGTTTTTGGAAAACATAAGAGCTTTTATTCATTGATGAACACAGAGAAATGATATATTTTTTTTAATTTTTTTTTTAACTAACAGATATTCATGTAAGATAAAAAGCAATAAATTGTTACTTCTTTTGCAATTTTTATTTTAAAAATAAGGTACCAAAATGTGATTATCATCATGGTTACTATGCAAATAATTCTTTATTTTAGTTAGGGTTAATTGCAGTTTTGGTCTTCAAATATGAATTTTGTGTCATTTTAGTCCTAAAATTCCAATTGCATCAATTTCATATATAAAATATTTAGTGTGTTACAGTGATCCTCATATCTGACCCGTCAATATTCATAATCAGAATCACGAGTATTTTTAGAAGAAAAAAAGAAGAAGAGTTAATTAATTTTTTATTCCTAAAATGTGTTCTATATCATTGAATTTGGTCCCAACATTTCATGTCAATTTCATTAATGCTGATGTGTTTCACCAAAAAATAAAATAAAAATGCTGACGTGTAATTTGTTATTCCAAAAAAACCCCTGATTCTGAATATTGACTTTGAGGATCGAGCAAGGATCCTCTCCTTGCATTCCCTACTTCACTTCCTCCTTGCAATAGTCAAGATTCATCTTAAAAGAATCTAATGGTTCAGATTACTTTATTAAAAATTAAAAAATAATTTTTTTGGAAGGATCTACACCATTAAATTCTCTTAAAATGAATCTTGACCATTGCAAGGAGGAAGTGAAGTAGGAAATGTAAGGAGAGAATCCTTGCTTGCGAGGATCACTTTAACAGAAATTTATTACTTTGGGAACAAAATTGACACAATCAAATGTTGAGATTAAAATTAATTACACGAAACTCATAGTTTATGGACCAATATTGCAATTAAATCTTTTTGTTAGTAAAAAAAAGTAGTCACTTTTTGTTCTACAACCATGGTTTGTTTCATATTTTATATACATTTAGCAAAAATTATAATTTCCTTCATCTAACATATTCTTGTGTATCTTGACCTCTCTTGGGGATTGAATGTAAAAAGAGATGCAGCGACACTGATGCTGCTGCTAACTCAAAGGAATATGCATTTTCGGCAATGGTATTGATAGATAATTTGGTAGAAAAGGCACCTATGAACAAAGGCTTTGCAGACGAGGAGACAAAAACGAATGGCATATCAGTCTATGGTATGGCTAGTTGTTGGAAGAGTTTGGACAGTGAACAGTGCAATAAATGCCTGATAAATGCAAGCGATAGCGCCTCGTTATGCCTGCCATCAGAGGAGGGGCGTGCACTCAACACCGGCTGCTTTCTACGTTACTCTAGTTATGCATTTTCAAATAAGCCTACTGCACTGATAACTCGAGGTTAGTCCTACTTTTAAATTCCTGGAATTAGTCTACACAAAAAAGTATTTGAGACAAGGCTTTCAAATTGGGGTGGCCAAACCAAACTTTTAGTGGGTTCCTAAATTTTTTACTAAAAACTGAACCAGTGTTGCTAGAAAAAGCTAATACCCTAGCGATTTACGTGATGGCTTTTGGGATGCCATAGCTTAAGTGATTATTAACATCTTACATACATTACCTCTCTTTTTCTCACGTTCTTTCCCATTTTCAAGACATTGATATAAGTTTTACGGTTTACTATGTAAATCTCTTGCAGATGCTATTCTTCTATACATGGTATATACTCTTGGAGCAGTTGGGACCTGCTTAATGGCAGTTTTTATAGGGTTTTTTGTGGGTAAAATCATTTTCAAGAAACGATTAAATCGCCAGTTTGAAGAACAGGGTAAGGTTGATTATAGACAGATGCGATGATTTCTTTTTCTATCTTATGATGGGTTTTATATTTGGGAAACACTATGGTGCACACCCTTCAAACATGAGGCATAATTAAAGAACTTGTGAGTCATACTAAAATAATGTCATAATTAAAGAAGAAAATTGCTCATAACTCAAGAACATGGCATAACTAGGGTGTATATGGTACAGCCTTTTTAAAGGGGTGTATATTAGAATTTCCTTTTATATTTATCTTTTACAAACAGATAGCTTAAGGTATACTTCAATGAACTCCTGAGTTGGTCTTGCTATTGTGTTTGTATTGAATTTTTTGAAGGATTGGAGATAGATTCATTAGCAACGATGTGCCTGCGGTTCAAATACTCAACACTACAGAAAGCAACAGAGGACTTCAAAGAATCCCACAAGATTGGTCAAGGAGGATATGGTGAAGTATTCAAGGTAAATGCATGCATTTAGTAAGTTTCTTTTAAGTATCCTTTGTGAGAATATATATTGTATATATGGTATATATTAGGAATTAGGCAATTTCCTAATATATACCATATATACAATATGTATTCTCACATCCTTTTCATAATTTTATGGGTCTTACTAACGAGTGCCTTAAGGATGTGTTTGGTTGAGGGATTTAAGAAGAGATTTGGAAAGGAAAAAAGAAAAGGTAGGTAAAATGTGAATAAAATATACTTATATTTCACCTAGTTTTACACACCTTTTCCCTTTCCAAATCCCTTCCAAAATCCCCCAACCAAACACAGTCTAAATGTTAACAAAACTTAAAATAGTTGTATATTATTTACAACACTCACAATTATGAAAAAAAAAAAATATATACAGTCATTTCAAACTTGTTAACAAGTGTCCTTAGAACACTTGTTACCAAAAGCTTAATTTTATTATTTTATCTAATATTATTAGTGCAATAGGGAGCATTGGCGGATGGTAGAGAAATTGCTATAAAGAGGCTATTCGTAGGCGGCAAGTGTCAAATTCAGGCGGTTTGCAATGAAATCGACATCATTTGTCAAGCCCAACACAAGAATTTGGTTCGCTTACTTGGTTGTTGCTTCACTAATGACAGCCTCCTTGTGTATGAGTTCCTTGCAAATGGAAGCCTTGATCGCATCTTATTTGGTATGCTATCATAACCAATCCTCAAAAAAAAAATTGAAGTAGGTAGTGTATTGATATTTCCTTTAAATGATCTGATTTATGTTGTGGTACCATGGAAGGAAGACCCAGAGAAGAAGAAAGAATTAGACTGGAAAAAGAGGCTTGGGATAATCATAGGGACAGCCAAAGGTTTAGAGTACCTTCACAAAGATTGTCAAGTTCGGGTTGTTCATAGAGACATCAAAGCGAGTAACATCTTATTAGACTGGAAATATAGACCAAAAATTGCAGATTTTGGTCTAGCAAGGTTCTATTCAAGTGAAAGAATAGTTGCCAACACTGCCATTGTGGGCACATTGTAAGTACTTTCTGCCATAACCTCACTTTTGTTTCTCCTTTCGTGATTAACTCTTGAACGAATAGCACTTCAAAATCAATAATTTTATGTGCGTAGAAAAATCAATGTGTTTAGTTTTTTCTGTGCACGTAGCATTATTGCTTCAAAATACTTGACCTTTTCAATTAGTGATGTCTCGTTATGATTTTGTTGTACCTTTTGAAAACCAACTCTTGTATTGATTCATTGATTTAAGAGGTTACATGGCTCCTGAATACCTTGCACAAGGACGATTAACGGAAAAAGTTGATGTTTATAGCTATGGAGTTCTTGTACTCGAAGTAGTCAGTGGTGTGCAGAATAACAAATTTCATTCCGAAGATACTCTCAGCACACTAGTTACCACGGTAAATCCCCATGACTCTCTCCTATCTGGGCCAAGATCCTGTGTCTCTAAAATTCTGGTCTCATGTGATGAGAAGTTTCAAATATGGGAATCTGGAGGCACGGTTATGCAGCCAGTGCATTAAGGACATAGGAATATGAATTTTGGAGATAGATGATTCCATGACTTCTTTCCATTATTTATTAAGGAAAATTACATCCATAGCCCCTGTAGTTTACCTCTTATGTCAAATTGGCCCTTATAATTCTAATTGCATCAATTTTACCCCCTTTTTTCTTCTTCTCTACATTATGCCAATTTAGTCCAATTAAAAATGCCCCTATAGAAGTTAGACTGAAATCAAGGAGCAAAATTATCTATTCTCTCCCCAAGGTGACTGAAAACTTATCGATTAATTTGAATGGACCATTTTGTTCTTGATTTCTATTAATTTCTTAATGAATGTTATCAATTGGACTCCATGCCATAATCCGAAAATTTTAAAGACAAAATTGATGCAATTAGAACTACAATGACTAAATTGACACAAGAGGCAAATAACAGACACCACAGGTAATGATTTGCCAAAATATTTTATTAGTTGTTGTTGGTGTGATGCTTAACCTTGTTTTTTTTTCTTTAATACTCTCTACAGACATGGAGGCACTTCCAGGAAAATACAGTAGCAGAGATCATAGACAAAAGCATGGAGATTGAAGATGTTGAAGAAGTACAAAGAATTGTACAGATTGGTTTGTTGTGTACACAAGAGTCACCAGCTTTAAGGCCTACAATGACAAATGTAGTTGAAATGCTTAAAGAGAAGAATGTAGAATTGCCAACTCCATCAAAGCCTCCTTTCACGGATGACTTTTCATCAATCTCATCTGCTTCTTTTGGCTCTTCTAGGCAACAACACCGACATTTGCTTTCAGTTGATTCTTGTAATAAATATTTAGAGTTTGATCATAATGACAGATGATTTATATATCCTTATATATCCATGATTTCTCCCTCTCTCTCTCTCTCTCTCTCTCTCTCTCTCTCATGGCACAATGTACTACTAGCTAAGAGCATCTCCAGTCTACTCATTTTTTTTTTCAGATTCTAGTAAAATCTTGAGCAAAAGCTTCATTTGATAAAGAGGACTCCCAATGGCCAAACTCAAATTTGAGCAAAAGTTTGGAAAGTGGCAAAATTGTAAATTTAGAAGCTGTTATATCACTACAAGTTTGCCCTTACAAATTTGAGTAAAAAAATGATTATCCTTTGATTGGGTAAGAATTTAGTAAAATTTATTTTGGTACGAGTTTGAGTAGAGAAGTGGCGAAAGGTTTTGAGATTTTCACTCAAATTTAAATGTGATATAGATATATATTCATGAGTGTGTATATATATATATATATATATAAAAGAAAAAGAAAAAGAAGAAGAAAGGGAGATGTCATAACCAGGAAGTTCATGGAACTCTCACATAATACTGTTTGGTGCATTTTTGTAAATTTAAAATTGATAATCGGAAGCAAACTCTTTTTATTTTATTTTTTTTCTAACTTGTCTAATCTATTTTTATCAAAAACCTAAAGTAAAAGTTGTATAAGTAAAAATTGTGTCAAGCAACATTCTGGCATAAATTTTTAAATAAATAAAAAAAAAGGATAAATCACATATAAGCTGTATCAGGTGTGGTTTGGACATGATTTATTATTTATTTATTATAAAAAGACATACAAAAAAGTACATCAATAATATGACAGAAATAAACTAATATGGCGGCACCGTTCATCCATTCATATTAGTAGTTAAATTTTAAAATGATGGCTTGCATGAAATCATTTTCCCTTTGATATGAGAAATTACAACCATTCTTTTATGTGATAAAACTATTTTTTTTGTTTCTTTCTAATATTGTTCAAGTTTTGTAGAATGTCTACCTCCAAAAGGCAGAATTTAGACCTTTCTTTATCTTTTTCTCTATCTTCTTTTTTCTTTTTCTTTTCCCATTAATCGGAATGAAATAGAAATGCATATAAGACAATGATGAGAAACTCGAGAACTAGCTTTGGTAACCGATTTATTTGAATTTTGGGACAAGGCAAGCCCCATAGTATCATTTTTGAATTGATATGATACGTCCCATATTCCTAACCCACCGAAAGCACATTTTATTGATCCTCTCCTCTCATTGTTCACCTCCTTAATTTGTCACATGACAACACTAACATCAACTTACAGACCCTCATCGCACAATTTATTTTCAGAAATATCAGAAGAACTATCTATATATCCAAAGTTATCTGGGGGGATTAAAAAGGAGATTTACAGATGATACGAAGCAAAAACAGAAGGTAAATATATCATGGGTATCTCATATTCAGAACAGGGGAGTTATGGATCAGGGATTTCATCCATACAAATATGGCACCTGTGTATTTTGTTGAGATTGGCATAGAACTATATGTATTATATCTAATAGATCTTTATTAGATATGAATTTAACAGGTGATCAGAACATATAATATGAAGAGCATATATATGAATCAAAGGTTATTGAAGAAGACGAAGAAGAAGACGACGAAGACGAAGACGAAGAAGAAGAGCTTGCAGATCTTTCAGTATAATTATAATCTTTACAGTACCTGTTGTGGGACCCACAAAGAAATCAACAAAATAATTCACGTCAGCCGTTAGGCGGTGGTTTTATACTTGGTCTTAGAATCCAAAAGGCTTCAAGAATTTATTAATTTTTTATTATCTTAATATTCCTATAGTCTATAACTCATTTTCTTATGATGCACCTTTGCTATGATGACATCAGCTTAACGAGGAGAACGACTCAGTCTTTGGACATTAAAATATAATAGAACTTACATGTGAGAACTCACATGGTAGTTAGAGCCAATTAAATATTGGAATAGAGGACGCAGGGGCTAGTATTACCCCCTGCGTTACAAACCCACTTTTCGTAATGCCCAAAGTGCCCCTTTGCTCACATGAGGCGCACATGCCTTATGTCTATATAAGCTAGGGTTCAGGATCTGTGATATAATTTGACGGAAGAATTGGCGTGCTTATGTCTTCTATTTATCACACTCGTCATCGTATTAGGCGTTTAAAAAAGATTGGTGTATTCAAGGATCTCGTTGTTAGAGCACCATAAGCTTAATTTCTCGTTGTATGAGATATATATAATCCTTCTTCTGTAAAAGATATAATAGCTTGTTCTGCTTGATCTGATATATTCAACAATATATAGAATAAATTCCCTTGATCTCCATCATAAGGATAAAAAAAACTAACCTTTAATCCTTCATGAGTTATTTTGAGATCTAATCTTCCCCATAGTTGCTTTATTCTATTCTGGAATATGCTAAACAATGTCGTATCCTTTGATAACACTGTGTCTATTTGTAATGATTCCTTTCCTTTAACTCTCTTATCCGAATATTTAATGATTAAACCTTTAGAAGCATCTGAGATATGAGAGATTGTAATCGCCATGTTCTTCCGTCAGATAATATCACAGATCCTGAACCATGGCTTTATATAGGGCCTCAAAGGGGTGCGGGGGTAATAATCTACCCCGCGCCCTAAATGAAATCCAGGCCCTCCACGTGTTTTATTAAGATCCAACAGTCCAATCTTGGGACGTTGGGACACAGGGGTAAAAGTAGCAATTTGATGGTTGTTATAGAAATAAATTGCAACTTTGGAGGTATTCCTGTGCTAGACAGGTGGCATCATCATAGCGAGATTGTAGCATAAGAAAATGGGTTATAGACTATGGGATTATTTAAGATAATAATAAAAAATTAAGAATTCTTGAAGCCTTTTAGATTCTAAGACCAAGTATAGAACCACCGCCTAATGGCTGACGTGGATTATTTTATTGATTTCCTTATGGGTCCCACAATATATTTGTATAAACACGTTCTGATGTATAATAAACAATAATATCGGAGCGCCATTGACAAAGTCTTCGTCTTCTTTCTCTAGATCTCTGTAAATTTCTTCAAAGTCTTAAATGGCTAATAAAAGTCCTCTGAACACATACACAATTTTGTTGTTGCCTCTTCATATAGATCTTTGCAACGTTCATCAACGATCATACAACAAATCTTCTTCTGAATTATGTTCTGCTTCTCCCTCAAAATAGATATCTCTTCTAATTTCTTCAGATTCTCTGTATATGATTTCTCAATATCCTCTTTACACTTGATAATATGATCAATCTAAACAATATTCTCTGTACATAATATCTCTATTATTCTCTGATGAATATCAAATATTTCCTTAGGCTTCCTAGTCACGAACCAAGGCATCGAGGCAGACCCCACACAAATCAGAGCCGTACAAGAATTAAAGCAGCCGAGCTCGGCTAAGGACGTGCAGCATCTGGCCGGAATGGCCGCCGCGCTTAACCGATTTATAAACCGGTCATCAGATCGCTGCCGCCCCTTCTTTCAAGCTCTGAACTCAAAGTTCTCATGGGATGAAGAATGTGACCGGGCTTTGGCCGAGCTCAAGGAGTATCTGTCTTCAGTGCCACTGTTGGTAACACCGAAGCCCGGCGAAGAGCTCTACCTTTATCTGGCCGTTTCACAGCATGTGGTAAGTGCGGTGCTTGTCCGGTCGAAAGGAATCAAGCATCTCCCTATCTTCTACGTCAGCAAAACCTTGCTACCAGTAGAGTCGAGACACTTGTCGCTGGAAAAACTTGCATTGGCATTGATGATGGCTTCCAGGAAATTGGCGCACTACTTTCATGCCCATATAATCATCGTTTTGACCGAGTTCCCCCTCAAAGCTTTGTTCAAACGGGCGGACTTCTCCGGTCGAATCCTCAAGTGGGCGGTTGAACTGGGACAATTTGACGTCAAATTCCAGCCACGAACTGCCATAAAAGCTCAGACATTGGCCGACTTCGTTGCTGAATTCTCACTTGGAACTCATCCGGTATGCCCGGTAGATATTGCCGCGGCAGATGAGGAGGTGAATGCAGGCTAGACCGCAATAACACAGCTAGGCGATGACGGCGACGCGAAACTTGCGCGCCCCACCGAAGAATCTTCGGTTAGTACAATACCACAGCCCGGCGATGTGATGACGGAGTCGGGTGTCACCGACCAACCTGCTCCGTTCGGTACCGCATCACCAAGGGGGGAAGAAATGGAACCTCTCAGCACAGAGCCTGCAGCCGGCATAATTCTGCAACCCGGCGATTCGCCTACAGACTTACGCATTACGGATCAACTTGCTGAGTCCGGGGTCGAATCGCCGAGGGGGGCTGAAATGAAATCGCTCAGCACAGAACTTAAAGCCGAACTGCCGAACAACCGTGATCCCATCAACCTTCAAGCCTCACAGGACCCCTCAGACTGTTGGAAGCTCTTTGTTGGCGAAATGTGGAAACTTTTTGTTGATAGAGCCTCGAACCGTCACGGTGTTGGGCTAGGTATAGTTCTGATTTCGTCAGACGGGCTGACTATCGAACATTCTATCACCCTCGGATTCCCTGCCTCAAACAACGAGGCTGAGTACGAAGCGCTTTTGGCCTGGCTCAAGAGCGCGCTTCAGATGCACGCATTCGAGCTAATGGTTTACAGTGATTCACAGCTGGTGGTTAACCAAGTTTCTGGGGTTTACGAAGCAAAGGATGACAGAATAATGAAATACCAGGCTCTGGTCAGAGACCACATCAAGCGATTCCAAGCAATAAGGGTCCAACAGATTGGCCGAGAAGAAAACGACCGAGCAGATGAATTGGCCGGCCTTGCTTCCATAGTCGGTAGCACATCTCCCAACCCTTTCCTGATTGAATTCCTTCCGCGGCCCAGCATTGAGGAAATCGAGCAGACAGAAGTACTCTGTGCTGAGCTAGGTCCTTCATGGATAGACCTTATAATCCTCTTTCTCAGAGACCGGACCCTTCCAGCCGAGAAGAAGGAAGCAGATAAAGTCCGGGTGAAGTCAGAGAGGTTTTAGCTCTCTCCGTCAGGTGCTTTATACAAGAAGT